ACCTTCTCATGAAAAAAAAGGATTAATTTGTTGATAGGTTTCAGGGGTTGTGTTGTTATTTTTTATTTGGACTGGTTCTGCTTTTTCCTATAAAAATGTTAAAATTGTCTGATCACCTGGAATTACTGTACAATAATTCACAACTGATGAACCGTAAATCAAGATTTTTTTTAGATCACTATGCTGATTTGGAAACCTCATTCTTTGCTTTATCTGTGAAATAAACTGATTACATGTCTTAAGGAACAGAAAGAAAAATATGAGAGGGTAACATAGAAATGCTTTTTTTTCCTGGCAATTTCCAAGCTTTATAGATAATTAGATTTTCATATATCTTTTTGGGTCATGTCTACTCACTATAAACTTCCTTGAGATACTGAGCTCAAGTTGCATATTGCAAGTGCCATGTGTTTTGCATGGGTACTGTGGTACATATTGGAATGTTGGTATTTTCTAGAGTATTCTATCACTGGATTATTTATTAATTTGTGGTTAAAAGAAAGATAACTATGAACTGAATAGTTCTCTGTATATTACAGCAAATCAAAAAGCATTTAAAACACTGTGTGATTGACAGACTGATTTAAACTAACTCAAGATGGTTGTGGAAAACTGGGAAGAGGAATAAGAAACAACTCAAAACTGTCAGTGGCTGAGTCTGAGACTGCTGAGCACAGCTCTTCTTATCTGTTAAAATTGGTGGATCTTGCAAAACCAAAACTGAAACGAAGGCTCCCCCAGATCCCATCCCAAGGACCTTGCAGTGCTCCCTGGGGCAGCACTGGTGGTTTCTGACCCTGCCCTGAAAATAACTTTATTTATTTATAGATTTGTCCCAGTGATTTTAGCAAAGAGGTGGTTCCTGCTCCATGCTGGGCTCAGTTCTGCTTCCTCACCTTCAGGGGTTACATCCTAGCTATAGAGCAGCAAACTGGCTTTGTTGGCACTGCTACCAGGTAAAACTACTCGTAATGGAATTATTTGGAATGTAAATTTCTCTCAGATCCAGTATTCAAATGGGCACATCACACCACAAAGGCTGTTTGTATTTTGTATTTTCTTTCAGCTCAGTAATGTTTTAACACAGTGTAAAATCTAATTTTAAAAGGAAAAGATTTGAAGAGCTTCAAAGCATTAAAGGAGAGAAAACAAATACTGGCTTGATATTATAATCAGTTATCTAGATAAGGTGATTGCCTTAGACTGGAAGCCTGATTAACAATATTATTTATTAGAAGGTCAGATTTTGATACAATTAAATTGAAATGAGAACATTTTGCTTATATGTCCAAAATAATAGATACAGTCTGAAGACAATATTTGAATGTTTTTAAAGAGATAAATATCTTAATGGTCTCTCAACAGGACAGCTTTCTGTAAAACTTGACCTCAAATAATAATAGAAAAGTAATGTATAACCTAGTTATGCATGTTTATGCCCTGCTGACATGTTGTGTATAGACTCTAGTCCAGAGCTTGGCATGGTAATGGCTTTGCTCACACGATTGAAGATTTAATAAGAGAACTTCTTGGTTACTGCAAAAGGGCAAAATTTGGTCCAAAACACTTTGTGTTGTTATTAAAAATGAAAAAAACCCCAACCGTTAGTATTTGCTCTCACCACCTTTTAAAGTATATATTTACCACATTAGAATTTCATTACAAATGTGAAAAACAAATAAAGCTACACTTATCCAGACACTATTTTAGCTCCAGAAAAATACCGACGAGATTTTTCAAGGTTAAGAAAACAATAAAATAAGAAAGTGCCCATTCTTTTTTTTTTTTTAACACCTTCATCTTGCATTTATTATATTAAAAAAAAAAAAACCTCTTAATTTTAAATTGACTCTAAAGAAGAACAAAAACACAGAGAACAAAGCAGAAAATACTGTTTGGCTGTTGTGATTGCATCTTGCACTTGGGTGCATGGTCTGTCTCTAAACTCTGACTCATCTGCCAGCAGCAGGCTTTAAGGTGATAATCACCCACACAGAGCTATTTGCACATCATGTCTATCTTATCCTCTATCTAATTATACCCTCTATAACAAACTGTTTAGCATAATTAGTGGATTTATGCTTTATGGAAAAAAAGAAGCAATGGCTTAGAAGACTCAACTTTTGGAAGGCGTACATGTACAGATTAGTAATCTTGGTATTTGGTCATAATAATGAACATTTTTGATGCACTGCTCTATGTAAAATTGTACAATCATTATTTTAGCAAGTAAAATAATGCAGTTTTCAGAATATTTACATACTAAATATAAGCATTGTTTAAAATTATGAAATGGTTTTGGGACTCATTAATTGCTAACGCTTTCACCAGTATTTTTTCAGGCATGGCTGAAAAATGCTGAAAGAGCCAGGATTGTAATCAAGAATGCTGGAAATGATCAGAGAACCTATTATTCAACTGATAGACAACAGCAGGTACAAATGACCTTAATGGGAAAGCTCTCGGGGTTTTTATTTTTTTCCTTTGTTTGCTTTGTTTTCTTCTAGATGATCAGAAAGGATGTTTACTAATGACCACTCTTTTTTTGTGTTCAAATTTTAGTGCTAAGCTGCTTTAATACAAAATCCTTTGAGGTAAAAAAGGAAAATAGAGAATAATACATATATGTGCACACTAATGAATATATTTTATTTTTCTTTGCTGGCTTTCATTGCAGTCTCAAAGAAGTTTTAAATGAACATTGCTTGAGGTGGCATCTTCTTTGCATGCTGGAAGTTTAGTGTTTCTAATCCCCCTGTCCCAACCACATCCTCCTTATACACTAGAAAAAAGCTGGGAGCACATAAAAGCCAATACCCCCCTGTAGATGTTTGCTGCCAGGCAAAATGAAACCCAAACTGTATCTCCCAAGAGTAACTTCCTGCCCTCAGATGGGGAAAAACTGGTAATATGAAAACAAATACTGTGTTAGCATAGACAAAACAAAAATCATGCAGAATCCATTAAAGCAGCCACGACTAATTAATCTTGTTTGGTTTTGTGTGTTAATTGGACTTCTGTTAAATTCTCTTTGAGAACAGGATAAATTTATGGATTATATCCTTGTTTAACAAAAATTCTGCTATTCCTGTGTTACAGGAAAGGTGTCCAAAACATTAAGCAAGTAGAGTTATTTCTCCCCTGAGCTATTTAAGAAAAAACACAGGAAAAAGCAAGCAGTATTTACTTGTGCTCATGAAGAGATGCTCATACTTCACCCTTTTTAGGTAGGCAAAGAAACATGTTGAATTCTACCACATATATACCAAGACATTTACAGCAGACTAAAGAGAAAACACAGATTTGCATAATCTCTTGTATCTCCTATAGAATGTTAAACAGAATTTTCTCTGTTTGTAATAAATAAACTGTACTAATCACCACAGTGTAAAATACAAAGAGGTCAACAATGCATCCTTTCAGCTCACCATTGTTCAAAAGGTATTTGAGTTTCCCTATTAAGTTTTCAAAGGCCAACATCTGCTGATGCTCAGAAATGGTAGATGTGGTGACGAAGGCTGTATGGAGGGTGAAGTGAAAACACAACCATATAGACCATGCAACACAGTAGTACTAAGAAACTATAGCACAATCAAACTCCAAGGAGCTATTTCCCATTCATCCCATTTCTGTTATTAATGGCAGGAATATTTCTGAGAACGGTGACATAAACTTATTCTCTTTAATTTAGTTAATTTTTTTTTGTAATGAAATATGTATAAACACGAAGTTTTGAAAATAGCACATCACTATGAATCTGCAGGTGTGCAAATACCAGAGGAGACACTAGAGCAGGCAAATGACATTATTAAGATTTAAGGCCTTCATTTGCACATTATTGTCATTGATGCTGTTTTTCTATTTAAAGCAGAAAACAGATGCTGTGGTATTCAGCTGCTAAAACTGCTCACACTTGCAAGGGAGATAGTTTTGATGGCATTTAACTTGCCTGTCTAGAGCTTAACAAATCAGTGCTATTCATAAGCTTAAGTAAACTGAGTTGATTATAAATTGATAGTCCTGACCCTGCACCATAAAATTGAGACAGTTTTACCCAAATTGTTAAAAACTTTTCACTTGGATAGCGGGTATGGCAAATAACATTTAACAACTGTGATATTTTATAACTGTGATTGTCCTGTACTATGCAAGTTGTGCCCAAAGTATTTGCAAAGCAGAGGCTGTGGGGAATATTCTTTCCTTGAGCCACAGCAGGATCCCATTTCTCCCTCCCTGCTTTATTGGCAATTAACTAATGTGCCATGACTGTATGCACTCCTCAGCTGTGGAACTTAGCTGAGGCTCACAGCTCAGCTGCTGTCACTTGGTCTCTTCATAGGTTTTGTTTAAGTAATCATCTATTTCATTCATATAGTAGTTATTTGTGTAACAGTGTCATGCTTTTGTTATAGTTTAAGAGTTGCATTTTGGTACTTTGATTGCATACAGGAAAGCATTTTTCTGTGAGGGAATACAATTCTATTTATTTTGTGGAGTAAAGCTGAGTTCAAAGCCCACTAGAGTTAATGCAGATTCCAGCAGATACGCTGCATTTGCTAATCTACTTCCTAGAAATGAAAGCTATTCCATTTATAAACTTTTCCATTTGCTCTTTGAATGTACACACACATATACATACATGAAAATTACTGGTCCTATACTTCTGTTATTAGCAAACGCTTTTCTTCAAAATGCTCAACAGATACTTGCTCTGCAACAGTGTCTTAATTCTTTGTGTCACACTGGTTTTATAGAACTCAGTGCTCATCTGCTGATAAGAATCGATCAGAAAATCTGGGGCTGAATGCAGATGTAAGGAGTGACATTGTCTCTGACCATGTGATAACAGTTACATGTTAATGCCAAAGAGGAAGGCCAATGCACAGTCCCTGCACCACAGGGCATGCTGTCAAACATTATCTACCCCAGAAAGGGATGTTGGGAAATCAGATCCATGAAGCTGAATGACAATGCAAAACAATACTGGTTTTATTACTTACTACCAATACTGGAAATACTGGGTATACCTGCAGGGAAAGAAAACACAGAGAAGTGTAGTTAGCTGTTTGCTGTAGCTGGCTAAGCTATTACACCTAAGATTCTGAAAACATCTTCAGAATACTTTATCAATACATAGTTAAACTCAAGCATTTGCCATTACGTGCCCAGTCCTTTATAAATGCAGTCTTTTAGATTTTTCAGTATGGGGCTGCAGGGACCACTAAAATGCATTGACAGATGGGATGTATACCAGCTCTCTGAACTTCATGAATTTGTTCAGAACAGTTTTGTATTTCAACTAACCAGCCATTAGGTTTAATGCTCTAGATAAAAATATCAGTCATGCATGTATTATGCAGATCTGGGAGAGTAATTTAACTAAGGAATAGATGCATTGCTAACTGCTTTGGCCAGCTGCTTAAATCAGTGGTTACCTTCTGTTGCATTAATTGTATAGAACTATTTTTCCCTCTTTTACCTGACAGTTATCTAAATTAAACTATGTAAAAGAATTGTAATTGTGTGAAACAATCTAATGCAGTAGGTTGGCCATATTGATTAAGCCTCTCATTGATTTTTTTTTTTTTCCTGTGTTCATTTCAATTCCTAAACTGAATTAATGCAAGGAAACCATTCTGAGACAGGTGAAATTTACCATAAGAGGTGGGGCTGTTAAGGAGTAAAACACCTTCACTGGATAAGCAGTGTGTTGTATAATGCAATCCCAAGAACTAGCTTCTTGTCAGGTCTGTCCTGAAAGCAAGGCTTTGTGTGTAGCACAAAACCATGGGTATAAAATCTTTCCTGAAATGCCATTTTCTTAAGATTAAATGCCATTGTTAATGGGACTGTGGCTCACCACTGGGGTTAGTCAGAAACTGCAGATTAGTACTGAAATCCTGGGTATTTTCATCCTCTTCTTTAAATACAGTTTGCTTTTTAAAGTTTTCTTGACTTTTGTGGCATGCATTTTGTTGCAGAAATCTGTATTTCTCCATTAAACTTCTGGTACTCTTCTTTCAACATCTATCCTAAAGTTCTCCCTTACTCAGAGATGGCATGGACCTCACCCTGCAATTAAGTGAAGGAATGTCTTGAGAATAAATGATATTCAATGTAAGCAAGGTTGCAGACTCAAGCTGGGAAAAATCCTAACTTGTGGCATGGCTGAGACAATGCTGAAGTAAGAGAATTTGCAGAATGTGGACCAAACCCAGACTTTTTATGATTCACCACATGAATCCTGGGGCACACATCAGAATTGCAGCTCTTGGGTTTTATATCCTATGGAAGCTGTGGCCTGGCAGAGAACCAGAGACAGCACCTGCTGGCTCACCCAGCCCCACACTCAGATGCTGTTTGCAAACTTAATTATTTCTACTTCTGCTGAGATTAATATGTATTTTCCAAAATTTTAGCACCATGAGGTATTGAATGCTAAATGCAAATATCATCATTATAGAACAATGTGGTCATAGTTCTAATAGTAACAAAACCTGCTTTTTTTGGTTAAGATAATTAAAGAAAATGTCCATCCCCTTATTTTAAAAATGAAAAAGACAATCAATTTTCAAATATTTTCCCTGAAGTTTCAATAACAGCTTGTTTAAATTTTTGCAAGTCATTGTAGCTGATTCAAATTAGCAGGATTAGTTTTCCTTTATACAGTCATGGAACCTACAAAAATATTAGATAAAAGACAAAAACGGTGTTCTCGCACTCACACTTGCACTGTGAAATGGTATTTGTATTTCCTCTGGGTATACTCCCCCGCCTCAAACCTCTCTGTCTCCTACACACACACACAAATATCCTTTCCTTTTTCTCCTAAACAGATTGTAGGAGAGGAAGAGGTTTTCCTGCAAGTCTGGTCGCCTCATATTATCATACTTCAACATTTTCAATGAATTCATAGTGATAAATGCTTCCTGGGCAGAGAATAATGAACACAAGATGCCTGCTAGCCTGAGGGCTCTGTATTAACCTTGCAAATATATCTTCAGTTCTGTTTCAAAAGCTGTTTTGCTATTTCTGTACAGAGTTTCTTAGTTGGTGAGGTCTTCTGTAACCAGACTGATTTTTGTGCTACCAGGTATCCCTGTGTGAGGTGGCTGGCCTTGATATTGCACTACTTTATGCCCTTCTTACTAAAGAGAGTGAGAATTACACTTCTGAGCTTGTCTGGAAAGGAGCTGGTTATGTAGGGCCACGAAGCAGGATCTATTAACACTCTGTGAAAAGTGCACATATGATGGGGAAATTATTCTTAGAAGGAGTGTTTGTGTGAGATCTGGAGTTACATATTGAGGCTAGCTCTTGAATTCAGCTGAGCTGGATTTGGTGCAAGTCCTTAGGTAATCAGACACAGGAGGTGTGATTCTGCTCTCCCTCTGTCAGTGTGGAGGCAGGCAAGGGTTTGAGTGCAGGGCTCTGCCTGTGCCACCACTGCTGGGGACAACCACAGGCTGCAGGGTCACCCCCCCACTGCTGGGGACAACCACAGCCTGCGGGGTCACCCCCCCACTGCTGGCCCTTGGCTTGAACCTGGTCTGTTCCATGGCATGGATTGTTTCCAGTCAGCCTTGTGCTGAAATCTGTGAGCACTTTGCAGCATGAAGTGATGGGGACACGTTAGAGAGATGAAGGATCAGGCCTCCTTTGATGGACAGTTCTATTGAGCAAGGTGTAAAAAGGGATTGAATTTACATCTATTCAGTTGTTAAACCAAAACAATGTTCAGCCTAAATTGTCTTCCAGTTGAAATCACTGGGATGGTTATTAATGGTAATAGATTTATAGTGAGGGAACATCAAGTAAAGCATGCAAAATAAGTTCAGAGGTTGGTACTGCCACTGAAATTGCAAATATTGCAGGAGAAAATCACTAATACTATTTATTATTTTTGACTTGACTTGAGGGTGGTGGTTTGGTATATTACATGTGCACTCTAAGTGCATCTAAATATATATGCATTACTTGAGAGGAAAAAAATCTGGTGTTTTCCTTTCGTACGATCTTCAGCATCTGCCCTGTAATTTTCTCATTTCCCCTACTTCCAGAAATGGGTTGTTTTAGCTCTTAGCTACCATGGAGTTGGCTATTGAGATGAAGAAAAAAGCAAATCAGATGCTAGCAAAGAAAGCAAGTTTTTGATTCTGTCTCTAGTTTGTGTCAGTGTGAAATCCTTAACACAAAGGAATGGATCAAGCTTTCTGTGACAAGGACCACACGGCTGCTTCCAGTGTCAGGGCAGGTCATACCCTGCAGACTCTCTTAGCACCTCCATTGTCAGTGCCTGCATGTGCTTCTGGCAGGACTCTTAAACAGGAACAAAATATAGAGCTTTTCATAGCAGAGTCAGAGCAGGGATGTTAATGCCTCATCTGATCTTTTGCTAGAATATCTGCCCTACAGCATGACAGCACTCCCTGCAGTGAATCTTTCTTCCCTTTGCAGCTCTTCCATTGAGGAATGATTGCAATATCAGATGCTCAGCATCAATTTCAGAACTTCTGAATTCTCTAGCAATTTAAAGCCCTGAGAAGCTCGATGATACTGGTGTCTTGTAATCCCTCAAATGGAGTGAACATTATGATCATAGGAATAAACTTTTCATGCATTGTTAAACCTGTATTCAGACAAAGGATTGCACACAGTGAAAGAAAATTCTTTGGAAATTTAATCTGTTTCATCACAAGAGCCCAGAACTTCTGCTACTGTTAATTTTGCAGTTGTTCCTCTGTATAGATTGAATTAATAGAAAAGGAACTGCTTTGATGAAGTTTTTTATCCCTCACCTCTGCTTTCCCAAATGATATCACCAGAAATAAATGGTACAGAGGAAATAGTTATTGTCTTATTGGGTAACATCTTTTAAAATTTGGACTTCTTTGTGTTATGTTTTAGTGAGTCCAAACCAGTATTAAAAACTCTGTCTAGGAAACACCCAGTGAGATCAAAGGATGTTTTTTTTCAAGTAATAATAATTTATTGATAGAATATTAGAAACTTTGAAAAGCCTGAAACTCAGACTATTTATGGCACTTTGAATATCTTGAAACAGACACTTTTCCTTCCCATGCTGCTGGTGCTTAAGGACCAGAAGTCTCTTTCATTTCACCTTTTCACTGTATATGGCAAAAATAGAGTTGTTTGAAACCACTGACGTACGGAAACAATTCATTTCCCAGCAACAGATGTCACCGCAGCCAGCACAAACAGCCAGCTCAGCAGGGTCATGCAAGAGGGTAGAGTGCTGAAGGATAATTTTCAAGCCCTTTTTTAAAAAAAATACAGCATGTTATTTATAATGCATTGTTTTTAGGTATGTACCTGCAATATTTTGCTGGCTATTGCACTGGATACCCAGTTGAAGGAAAATGAGTTTATCAGTTGCAGATTTTTGCAGTTTTTTCTGACACTTCTGTTTACATGAATGCTCTTGATATACTGCAGTTTTGTCCTCACACTAGGTTTCCCAGCCTTTTGTGTGACATGTTCCTGTGGCTTTATACCTTCTGTAAGCTTCATGGGCTAATATTAATATGCAATATAAATATAAAATAGGAGCAATATGAAGCTTTGCTGTTTTGTAACTTATTGATTGATATCTTATTTTTTCTCTTTGAAACACATTGTGAAATGCATCAAGGAGCAATATTTTATGACTTCAACATCAGTGTCCCATTTGTTCAAATCAAGTAATGAAGATGACACTGGAAAACTTCCAGTTACTTGGGAGAATGGGCCCTTAGAAAATGGGACACTGTCTAGTTTATGAGTCTGCTTTGACTGGAAAGCAGGATGTGTGATCCTTTTAGTTAGAGGCATCCTTGTTCCCTGGATTCCTGACTAGAAAGCACAATGTCTTTTCCTGAACAACTTTTTTTTTTTTTTTTTCTTGGACAACTTCATTTATGGTGATCTTTCAAGATGGCTTTGTGTCAGCAAATATTTATGGGGAGAACTGAACATCAATGAGGGTAATACCAGTGCACTTCTGGAGGTGCCATGAGTTTTGCCAGAAACTGTTTCTGTGGCAGCTGTGCTGCACGGATGTCTTGTAAGTCTTTTGCCTTTCAGGGAAGTTTAAAGCTGTGCTGCTGCTGTGCCATGGGAGGGGGGACCTACTGCAGGAGAAATTTGGTAAACTGAGACTGTCTGCCTGAGTCTTGACTGAAAAGAACCACCAATATTTCCCATGTCCTGGTCAGTGCTTTGTTTCGTGTCGAACTCTGAATTAGGAAAGTCATGTAACAGCTGGGAGGGGGTTCTGCTGAGTGTGGGGCACTTTTGATGCAGGTTATTGGTGGTGAAGGGACTGACACAAAGCAAGCAGGCTTTGATGCAGGGCAGCTCAGTGCAGTCTGAGACAGCTCTGTCTGATGGAGCAAAGAACCTAAGTGCCAAAGGTGATCTAAACAATAGGAGGAAGAAAAGGGCTAGCGCTGTCAGACACATACAACTGCTGAGGAGAAAAGCTATCCTGTAATACCAAGTAGAGAGAAATTCAATAAGTTCACTTTGTGTGTCAAAACATATTGCAGAAAAAACTATCTATAGAAAGTGGCAGCACAAGGGAATGAATGTAATCACAAAATAGTCAATAAGATAGAGTGGAAATATAAAATAAATGCTGTGTGGAGACAAATGGAGAAATATTGTTAGTGCCAGTAAACAACAGAGTACTTGCTGTCTTTCACAGGTAAAGCATGGAAAAACGTTTTGCATTCTCCTGAAAAACTCGGGGTAACTTCAAATGGTGAAGAAATAAATGGATAATGAAAACAGCTTTGGGTCAAAGTTTCCGCTATGACTACGGACTAATCTGGAATGGCCTTCTGTTTCAGGAGCTGCAGCTTGAAAAGGTATGATGAAATCTTACTGGCCACAAAAAAATGGCAGAAATGGAGCAATAGAAATAACAGAAGTTCTAGCTGGGAAAGATTTGGAAATATACATTAAGCTTCTTGTTGAATCTGAACAAATTTCATAAATTCAGAGAATCTCAAGAATGTGTGTCTTTTTATTTTGTGGAAAGAAGAAAAAAAATTCAGAGTGTTTCATTTATACAATTATTTTTACCTGTATCTTATTTAAGCATATTCGTGTAAACTTCAAACATACATAAATTTTTAAATAATTTGGTCTTAGATGAAAAAGATGGTCTCTGAAAATTAGAGGAAGGAGAAGTATCAAAGGAACACTGCATTACTGGATTATACAAAGTGCCCCCAGAGAACTGAAGTAATATATGAAGGGAAGTTATTTCTATCAACATGTTCCAGGAACGATTTCAGAATCCACACCTGATTAGGGAGACTATAACACCAGGGCTGCATTGCTGACCACATGATGGAGATGGTGACATAAAGGCAACAAGTTAAGTGAAATTACACAGACTGTGCAGAGAGTTTACACAATAATGCATAACTTCATATGCTTCAACGCATACAGCCTTAAATCAGGAAGTGACAAAAGAAATGAAGATTTACATACCATAAAGGATTTCTGCTTGTACCAATGAATCAGACAAGCCACAAGAAGACAAGCTGATTTAGTTCTGAGGCAGTCCATAGGACACAATTCAAGAAGTAGTTATCAGAGAACCACTTCTGGACTGAAACTCAACATGCTTGTTGAGAAGGAAAAGGATAAAAAAAAAATCCTGCAGTATTATTTAACTTTGAGAGAGCGGGGAAACGAAAATGGGGACGTTAGATAAAAGAAAAGTGAAAAGAACATCTAAAAAGATATGCGTGCAAACAGCATGGAAGCAGCTGGGGACAAGTGTATGAGAGGCTCAGAATAATCATATATAACTCATCTCTTTTTTTTGTAACTTATAAAAATTAGCTCTCTTATAAGAAAAAAAAAAAATCCAAACTCCAATGCCAAATTGAAAACAACAGAATGTAGATGATTTTGGAAAGATATCCTTCAAAAGTGTAAACCTTCTCAATGGAGAAAGATATGGGAAAAAAGCCATAAAATCTGCCAATTTAAATATAAACCACAGTATTTTGAGAATCAAACTTCCTGTGGACACAGAAGTTAGTAATTCTTTTTTGTTAAAACTATCATACTAGAAGCAGGAGTCCCAGAGAGATAACTGGGAAGATAGGCAATTGAGGTATTATTAATACTATGACTAATTAATAATTAATTTAATATTGAATATGAAATTAATTGTTTTCAGTGATGTTCACAACAAAGAAAGAGAGATTCTCACCTGCTGAGGAATTTTCTCAAAGTCTGTTAGCATCTGAAGTAAATGGTACTGCACAAGAATTGCCATGAGGAAAAGTTGCTCCAAGAAGTATTTTATAGGAACTCAAATATGATGTTTCTGTAGCATGTAACCTGTCATGTAAGTCAGCCTTGAGGCCAGAAGAAATGTTTTAACTCTGGTACAGTCTTAAAAAAGGACTCAAAGACTCAGCCAGAAAGTAACAAAATATAGAAAAGGCACATTTTTATGTCATTGTAGAAGAGCCATGTTGTTATCCTATCTAGAATATCATGTGTAGTTTAGCCTCACCAAATTAAAAAATGATCTCATAAAACCAGAAGAAAAAGCACAGATGACCAGAGATGTGGCATGGTTTTATGATAAGATGAGAGAGATCAAGATTTGTCATTTAAAAAAAAAAAAGTGGAGGAGTGGGTAAGGTCAAGTCTATATAATGATAAATGGTGTTACAGATGTAAACAGAGGTGCATTATTCTTTGTTCCTTCCTTATTTAAGAAGGTACTGGTGTAACTGTAGAAAAAAATTTAAGACAAGCAAAATTAAATACCTTTCACTCATTGTCTCACTCAAATTTGAAATGTATTGCCAAAAGGTATCCCTGAGGTCAACCTTACTTTAGCTGGGTGTCTCTCTGTTCTGCAGCAAGCAACCCCAGCAGTCCAGCTCAGAAAGCCAATTTATTTCATGGTAACTGAGAAGGTGAAGAAGAAATCCTTCATGTTTCTTCCTGTTTGCCATAAATTCCTGCTGCTGATGACTGCTGAAGTCAGGATTTGAGAGTAAGTGGAGTATTCATCACCTCAAACAAGGTTATGTTTTCATGATGATTCATCATCGCCGTCATCCCCAGAAATGACTACCTATTATTTACAAAATGTTTTGATGAAACTGTATATTTGCTGAAATTCACTGATATTGTTTTAACATAGAGTTGATTTAACAAGCTTCAGACACTCTTTCAGTAGGTGCTAATTCCACTGTTCTGTCTGGTGTGTGCTCAGCTGACTGGGAATGAGGTAAAACTCACAGCAAGCTGAATTTAGCTAAAATCAACCTGGTAAATCTCACCATATTTCCCTAACATAGCTTTAAAGTATTAATTCTGTGAGCCACACTCAGTTTTTATAACAGGCAAAAAAAAGTGAATACTCTTACAAAATGTTTTTCTCTGCTTTTTGGAAGTTCATTTTTTTCTGCTCAGTAAGAATTTTATCATAATTTCATGCCCCCATACTTCATGGTTTGTTACTTAGTCTATTACTCTCACATTTTACTTGATAAGGTCCTGCTTCCTATGATCTTCATTTCTGAGTTTTGATTCTTCACAGCTGCTGCTTTGAAGTCTTAGATAACATTATGAGCATTGCACACTGCTCCTGGTTTTAAACTTTTCATTCATCTGCGTACATAACTCTGTTTCTCTCAAATAACTTTTTCAATAAATTGTTATATCTAATATTTTAAAACGAATGTTTTGCTTTTAATCAGGGCAAAACTGTGGACTCCTTTCTTAAAAGAAGCTAGTAACTTCTGTCTAAAGGTATCCTCATTTTCAGTCCTTTCTTCAAAGGAATTTAAGTCTGTTACTCAGTTCAGAGGGATTCTGAATCACTGTGTATTTCACATGCGTGTGAAAGGGAGAACTGATGCTCACACTTGTCTTTGTGCCCTCTCTTTCAGCACCATGATTTATTTTGACCCAGTCCTGTCCAGGACCAGGAAATAGAGCTGTCAGTAACTTCTTGCTTTGGATAATATAGAAGTGTGTTGGATAGTACACGTGTGTTGTGGAGTGGTTGTTAACTGGAAGCAAGCAGAAGTAAAATCTCAGGTTTTGCCCTTGCTTTCCCTCTTCAACACCTGATCTACAAGAGTGCATCTGAATCTGGACTGCAGGTCAGCATCAGGGAAATGTTTCCCAACTTTTAGGTCTGTAGTTAGTAATAAAAAAAATCTGGCTCGAGGGTTTTTTTTCCCCCTTTTTTAAATGGACAAAAAATGAGCAAGGATCTCACATGTTGAGCTGAGAGTATCACTAATCTCAAGATAATAAAGATGTATGAATGGAGAGCTGAGGGCACCCTGGCTGCAGCAGTACTGCAGTTATTCCCACTGTTTTCTCTCATCTGTGTGTGTTCTTTATGTGAAGAGTCCCAATTTTTTCATTCCTCTGCCCTTTCTGTGCAGTGTCCAGGGATGTGTCTATGGATATAAACATGTGGCTCTCCTGGAAGTTATTTACAACCACGTGAGAGCACAGATGATGTATACTTACAATTAGCACTTAAAAATTGACACTTGTCCAATTATACACACACCAAGTCAGAAAGAAATGACAAACCTTTGCAAATATTAATCTTCCTTCAGAGTCATGATATGGAGCAGAACTGTAATAATGAAATATCCTTATTATAGAAAACTACTTACAGATATTAGCAGTGCCTTTAGGTATAGGCAGATAAGAGCCAGGGCTCCACGGTCGGCCCTGATAATTCTTCTTGCATTTTCCACAGTCTGGGCCCGTTGTGTTATGCTCACATTCACAAAGAAGTCTTTTGTTTTCTTCTTTACAGCCAGTAGCATGAAGGTTGCACTTACACCTAATTTTAAAAGGCAAAAATAAAACAAAGTGGAATATTATTTAGAGGTGAGTTTAAGCTCAAGTTTTAGAAAAGCATGTCCTATGGCAACTGTTTGATTTTTGTGCCTTCCCTCTGGTATTGTTCTACCATGAAAGCATGACATCACCAGGCATCCCTGCAAAGAGCAAATTGCAGATCTTCAGCTCACACAGGTCTAAAAGCAGAAATGTCACTAAGACTCCAAGATGCTGAATCTTGTTTTCACTAACGCAGCTCCACTGAGAACAAATAAATGATTCATAATTTTTTTACAGATAGGTCTATAATCTTGCAAAACTTCGAGAGTTACTATTCCCAGGAGCAAAACAAGTCCTCTGCTTATGTCCTTACAGAATCTGGCCCAAATTAAGGTCCAAATTACACCTTGGGAGCCTGAGAAAACAGACTTCATTTAAATATCCTCTGCAATACCACACTTCAGTAGAAGGAAAACTCACTATAATGGTGTCTTGACATTCTTGTTCAGCAAGTACTGTCTTGTTCAGAAAGGAAATTTCTTTTCCTGCTTTAATTTAATATAGCTGTAGTAGCTGAGGGTCAGACGAATTATTTTGGTAGGCACATTTAGTTTTACTTGGGAAAGAAACCTAATCAAAAAAGCATTAGACAAAAGCATTAGAAAAACCAGATTTTGCATCTGGTCTTAAAACAATTGTATATTTTCCTTAAATTCCCCTCTTTTCTTGAAACTAGGACACTTATAGAATGGGAAGTTACTTTCATAAACAGTAAGGTATTTTCATCTCTTTCCATCCCTTTCCAATGGATGTCAAAACCAGCTAAAATCTATTTCTGTTTGGGGCTGGAGAGAAAACCAGTACTTAATGACCTTTCCTGTTTGTTTTCCTAGTGACTGTACATCTAGTAATTTACAGGGTTCTCATGTGGGCATTTGTCACCTGTTCCATACAGTGACCAATAATTAGAGCAAAACAACACGTGGAATGGCCAAGTGCAAATTAGCAGCTGTCAAGCTGACTTCCATTTGGAAGGAATATGACCTGAAGCAATTGGCCATATACATATATATCCCCAGGGTAAAACAAGCTTGCAGTTGTCATAAGTAGCTGCTGGAGAAAATCCACAAGAATATGAAATACAGTAGATGGTGGAGCATTCTCCTCTGTGCTAGAAATGAATGAAGATGCTGTTATTTGAGCAGTGCTCATTCTAAAGAGAAAAAAGTTCAACACCTTTAAGAAATGACCAAAATGTATTCAGTATGGTGGACAAGAGAAAAAGAGTAATTTTTATGCAATTTACAAAATGTGTGTGCTTGAAGACTAAATCAACTGTGAATTTTTAGTGAGTTGCCATAGCAGAATGAAAGACGCTTGTCTGGGCATCAGTGAATGACATCTGTCTATTCACTAGGCACTGAATTGTAAAGTGTACTGCTATTAAAAAAAGCCATGGGTTGTTTTGCTGTCCACAGGAATATGAAAATGGAACACTCCAAACAGGACAGATATACAGTAATAACAAGACCAAAAAAACAGAGGGAAAAAGCAGGAGAGACTGTCAAGTAACTAAAACAAATTGGAGAGAGGAAGGGACTGGATTTCTTTCAGACGAAGATTTCTGTTTTATTGTAGGGACTCAGTGTCAGAGGCAGCAAACTGATCTAGGCAAGAAGAAAGAAGTGGTTGATTCTGAGGAAAAGCTCTAGTACCTAGTGCTCTGAAAGGGTGCTGCAGACTTGTACAGGAACTGAGGTGGGGGAAGATAAAGGTATGTCTATCTACTAATTGGAGTAAATATTCACAGCTCTTTTAACAAGCACATTAAAATAAAAAATAGTTGTGTCACAAAATCTTGTGCAAAATCTCTTTGCACTTCTTAGATTCTGTGCTTGTCAGATGTTCCTGAAGAGAGACTGACTCTTCCTTAGTTTTACTTGCATAGGTAAAAGTCTTGGATGGACTCTGGCTTTCTCCATCCTCCTCTGCTTCTATCCAGTCCTGTGCCATGCCTCTTCAGATATATATGCAAAACATATGCATGTATTTATATGTATGGATATATATATGTATATATATACACATATACAAAAATGACTCCCATATAGCCTCACCATTTCCTTTTACTGCCCACTTGCCCTAATCCCTCTGTGTTTACAGGCTGCCTCCTCCTTTTCCTGATTTCCCAGGCAAGAGATTTCCCATGGGCAGCACAGCTCTGCTGCCCATCCTGGTGCCTGTTTTTTAAACTTCTTAGGTCAAGACTGCTGCAGAAGAAGTGCTTCTCAGCCCAAGGTGCAGCACCCACACCCGCAGCAGGCAGCTGTTCTGGGGTGCACAAGGCATCTTGTGTGACTGCAGCCACCAAGCTGACAGAGACAGAGACATCCTGGAGGGCTGCGTCTGTACCAGATACAGGCAGCTTTGCACAGAAACAGCAAAATGCATTTTCTTCTAGAAGTAGCTGGCAACCTCTTGTCAAATTTTAAAACCCTATTAACTGAGATTTAAAACCTACAGCCCCCATATGGGCATTCAGACTAAATACGCACAAAATACACAAAGTAGGGACATTTTAGCCACTTAGCTTCCTAAATGGAAGAATTGCTAAATGGCTTTTCTTGTCCTAAACCAGTAGAATAATCAAAGATTCATTCAATCAGTGCCTTTATACAGATCAACTTATTTATATGCTTTATATGTATTTTTGAAGGCTTTCCCTGCAGAATTACCCAGAATGCTGCATCCTGTTTTAAAAGAAAATTCCAAGTAATAATAAAAAACTGAAAAACCCCCACCAAACCAAACTCCAATGCATGCCCCCCACCAAAAAAAATTGGGCAAAAAAAAAGCTATGTAGAGAGAGCAATGTAGCCTTCTAGGAGTATGATTTACAGAGAATAAGACAAACAATAATTTTAATCACTGTAAAAAAATAAAGGACTGATCTAAAACTTTTGTAGGGAGAGGATATCCCAAATCTAATGTTAATAACTGAGCAAGAAAAGAGCCAACAATGGTGAATTTCCAAATTATCCTCAGAATACTTGAAACGTGGCTGCATACACTTTCTAATGAGAAGATAAGGAACAAATGTGGTCACTTTGTTTTACTACAAGACTAGCTAAAATTAAGGTTAAATGTACATTTATATTAAAAATGTCAAATTTGACTTAATAAGAGTTAGTTTTACTAGGCACAAAAAGAAATGTTTAAAAGCCCCCTAAACCCAGACCACAAAAGACCAGATAATGTGTGATAAAAACTTTGCCTTCTTAGTGTATAGGCAACAGAAAAGTTTGGTTTGACTCATGATTATTTTCATACAAGTATGAAAAATCTGTGGATTAATACAGTCTGAAGCGATTGAATTGATAGTCTTGTTAGAGTCAGGAACTATATATAAAGAGTAAAAGAGTGGAAGCCTAAGTAAAATAAGATGTTCAGAAGACTGAACCAGCGGCTCTGATTCTCCTCTTGCCCCATTTTTTTTTTTTTTTGTTGAAGCCACTTGACAGATCTTGAAGAGATTGATCATGATTTCCACTGCAAATCAAGGCTGTAGCTGAACAGTGAATGTGTGTAAAATGCAGGCAGTGCTAAAACTGAAAGAGAACAAGAAGCATCTGTAGAAAGCTAACAGGAGGGTACTGTGTCTGGGGAAAACCAAGCCAGTATCAAAATCTGTGCAGGGAAATAATATTTCATATGCTTTTGGTTTTTTATGAAGGGTGCACTAGGAATTGGGCAATCTGTCCCAGGGACCTCATCAGAGTGTACATATGCACAGCCTCAGAGACTTCTGCAGAGAGAAATGCGTGTTGTGCTTGAGGGACAGACTTCTCTGGATGACTGAGAGAGGTAAATGAGCATAGCAGGGCTGAGAGATGACTAGAGTACAATAAAAAGCTGCTTCTATTTGCAGGATCGGCAGTAAGGAAAACAGAAATATTTAGGGTTACAGAAAGAAGGCTATTTTGGTAAAAGCAGCACCCAGATAGACCATGAGAGAGCCACCCTTTTGATGAGATCCACTGGATTGCAGTGGTGTGAAAACAAAGCAGCACAATCTGGACTTTAGGAATTTCAGCTGTCAATCAGCTGAGCACCACTGATCTGGGAGCTGACTTGGGCTCCCAGGAGATCACTCAGGATGTGCAATCAGCTTCCTATGGAGGATACCCAAATGAATTTTCTTTCTTATGGAAGATTACCTTTCTTTTCTAGTCCAGAGAGCAGGAAGGATTTTGTTATCTTATATGAATATCCATGGTGATAAATTATTACTGAAAATCCTAGGTACCATTTGTAATTTCATTAACCACTTGCTTTGAAGGCTGTTCCTAGCTGTTACTGCTGTCAATCTGAAATACTAACAAAAGGTTTAATTACATACAAAGCACATTCAATGCAACAATCCCATAGACTGTGTTGATGCTTCCATTGGCAGAATGTGCTTGCTTTGGCTGCTTGTATAAGAATGGAGAAGGTCTGAAAACCTAAAAAAATTATTTCACCTCCAGTGTACTGGGTTCCATATGACAGTATTCCATGGCTATCTTGAAATGCAAAAAAGAAAGTCCAAGTCCTGTACAGGGTATGATGTACACATACCCAGAAAGGCAATTACTGGGTACCAGTGGGTGGGTAGCATCTGCTGGCACACCAAGTGGGTTTGCCTGTGCAGAGAAGGGGATGACAGAGGGAGCTGTAATCAGTACAGCAGGTTTGAGAGCACAGGTTAAGGTCTGGAAAACAGAAGAGGATCTGTGCTGCAGCCTCTGCACTGCACTGGCTAACAGCTTAAGGGCAAAATCTCATGTAAGGACACAGCAAATGTTAAGGGCAAAGTGCAGTTCTGAGATACAGTACATGCTCACTGTAAATGGCACTGCTGAGGTCTAATGCTTGTAAAACTTTACAGAGAATGACTAAAGTCCATGATTATAAATATCAACAACTCCATGGACAATTAGGTCACATATGGAGAGATGTAGGCCTTGAAATGGCTTTCTACCTGAAGGGAAAAGCTGTCTGCCATTTATATCTGGTGACAGTTTTTGCAGACTTTTTTACTATTGCTCCTGGTGGGGCAGCTCTGTCAATGCTGAGCTTGTGGAAGTGAATGCCATGACCCCACAAAACTTGTCTGCATTTGGAAACTTCCAGCTTGATGTTTCTGCAACACAGTGGATATCCATCTTCCCAGTTCAACCTGCACGGACTCCCCCTGCTAAGCAGCCTGGTTATAGCACATGCAAGAACACATTTCCCTCAACGTGCAAATTCAATTTTGAATCACTGGAGATTGATATTGCTGTCCAATGCTATAAACCCTAATTGTGTGGGAGAACAAATTTGTTTTTCTGACCACTCATCTCTGACAGACTCATTATTTTGTCATAAAGCAATTGAAATGATATTTTTGGCAGTTACATAAGGCACAGGAGCTCTCTGGCGCACTGACGGAGCAGTGCTGTTGTGGTGGGAGCCCTGGGTGTGCTGTGCTCCTCACAGACTCTATTTACATACAGGCAAGTGACATTAAAATGCTGTAAATATCACTAAGGTAATTGCTAATAGCGCGCCGACGCTCTCGCAGGGGAGCGCCAACCAACAGACTGGGGGCACGTGAGGGATCCTTGATGTTCAAGAGATCATTCACGAGGAAGAAAGACAAGAGGAGCTCTTTGATACATTTTTAACGACTAGCCATATGTTCCTCACTTAGTTACATCTTTGAATCATTCTAGGTCATTGGCAAAGTTTAGAAAATTATCTTGAAACCAACTTGGAAGCCTTCTACAGAGACTCTTCGCTTCTGCGCGCCACGAGTCGGCTCCCTGCTCCCAGGTAAGCAAAGGCTGAGCTCGCAGAGGAGTTGGTGTGTTTGCTCTTCACATTACTGCCCACACAACGAAAAATACCATCCCCACACAGTCTTAATTATGCATTTTAAAACACTGTTGGCAATGTTAGGAGCCTTAGTCAGCTCCCCAGTGCTAGCAACGACTTCCAGCACCTTGTTACAGTTGTCCTAAAGGACCTGGCCGTGTTTATCATGACATCAAACGTGATAAGGCTGTCATCTACATTATGCCTCTCAAGCTTACTAATAACCTTGAGGCAGCTTCCCCAGTGAAGTTTAGTTTTCTAATGTAATGTAGACAGAGGAAAATTCCACATTACAAATACATTTGAAGTGTTACCTCAGCCAGGAAGGAGGATGAGATGTAAATTGAGAAAGCAAAAGACAAAATATACCATGAAATCTTTGCCACTGAATCATTATTTTTCAGGTTTAATTTTTTTTTTAACTCTTTATGAGACAAATTCATCAAAACTTGAAAAACTATATTTACAAATAAGTTACAAAACTCTTGCACCATTGAGTGTACAAGGGAAACATCATTACTTAGGTAAGTAAGTTATTCTTTGATCTTCTCTGACAAGTGGTCACGTTTTCATTGAGGCTTACAGTCTCAGAAATATCATGTTGGGTGAACAATATTTTTCATTATATTACTTTTCCATATCATGTCAAAACCCCAGTGTTCTGATCTTTATTGTAGTTTCCTAAGTGTAATAGATTTTGTGGGGATAAAGACAAGTATAAAGGATACTGTTGTGAAGAAATACAATGACTGCTGGTCAATTTATTTCTGTGGGGATGAAGCAGACACACTTTCATCAAAGTGGTAACAAGATAATTACCACAATCTTGGCTACCAATGCTCGCTGTAAGGACTCCCCATCTGAAGTTTTGAGCTAAAAGGGTCAAAATCACCTAAGGACAGTTGACAATAAGAAAATGGCATGGCTTGCTGGCTGCAAGTAGGTCTGCTAAACAAATGTTCTGGCTCACATGAAGCAAAAAAGTAACTTCTGTTTTCTATTAATATTTTTTTTTGAGTCATATGAGTATCTCAGGTCCACATTGATGTATGGAATCTAAATGCACAGATGGCACTGCATCTTTTTCTGGACATTAGGAATAAGACCCCTGTGGTCTGCTGGTTAAATGTAGCCACTATAGTGAGAGTAATGAAATGTAAGTCCTTTTATTCACTTGTTTATTTCTGGCAATCCATTTGGTCACCAGTTTTTTTCCCTGTCCTTTTCCCTGAATTTATCTAATACATATCTAATCTCTCACTGAAAAAAAAAAATTCCTTTGTGGAATAGGGCTACATCAATAATAAGGGATAAACAAATTCAATAATAACAAATATAACTTTGTATAGGTAGATATATTATTCTTTCATTTGCAAAGCAAGGACTAATGGTGGATCAGGTTTTAAGCTTCTTAAATCTGTAAGTAGCTTTGTGATTAGAAAAGAAATTTAACCTGTGCTCAGTAATCCTGCTGCACCTTAGTACCTTAGAATCCAGAGATTTACAGAAGCCTCTTCAACTTTATTCTTTACTGTTTCGTTTTCAGTGCTAAATTTGGGAGGAAATTGAATTAGATTTCCACAGGCAGTATGGAAAATTGGGGAAAATAGCTTCTTATTCTCCCTCAGCTGAATATAATGTATCTAGTGGGGAACGGCAAAGCTGAGGCACAGAGAGCATGTTTGCTTTGCTTTCTCAGCGGCCTACTTCCAACAGTTTGGAGAGCTTGAAATTAAAAAAGAAAACACAGTCCAAAAGGGCAGCATATTTCCCTCAGTCCCAAGGCTCACAAAAAGCTTGCAGGGCATGGAATTGCCCACTATTTGCACTAAGCCAACCCAACAATAAGAGTATGCAAGTGCTAAATTTAAATATTAATAAGATTTATTTTGTTCATATGCTAGTAAGCATTTCTATATATTGTCAAATAAATGCTGGCGATACAAACAACTACAGCATCACTATTGATCAATTTATATCTCAACCTGTATTTGATTAAGATTGATTATTATCTGATAGATGAATACTACCTTCCTTTTGAAGCAAAATATCATTGATGCAGGTCCTTCTGGCTTTGCTTCTCCTTTTCCCCTGCCTCTTTCAGACAGAGGGCCACAAGCTACCCTACTTTGCCAAATAAACTATAAATGTTTCTGAAATGCAGTAGTTTACCAAATGACAGCCTTCCGAACAAACAGAGGCAACTGAAAATGCTGCAGCCTAGATCAACAGCACTCATCACAAACACAGAAAGGAGGAGGCAGTAACCTGAGCAAATGCCTTGGTAGTTAAGCATTTATAACTCTTCTGAGTTTGTGACTGCATAAAACAAGTCATAGACCAACAGACATTCTGACTTTAGAAAATATTCAGACTTTCTTCAGTTTCTTAGATCCAAAGTCTAAAAGTAATCTTCTGATGCTTATGTCTAATAGAACAGAACAGCTAGTTATGAGTCCAAGTTATTTCAGTTTACCACATTAAGAAATACCTTAATATTAAATACTTTTATAAACTTAGTCAAGTGGAGTGGACACATGCTTTTTCTAACTTTGATTCCATGTTCTCTAAGTGTTAAAGCAGAAATAAATGTCTGAATATATAGCTGCTGTTAGCTGCTGTAGAAAACTAACTTCCATTCCCTTCCTAAACATTCATTTTTGCTTTTTTTTTTTTTTTCTTTTTTGTGGTTTTTTTTTTTTTTTTTTTTTTTTTATTTTTTTTTTTTTTTTTTTTTTTTTTTTTCTTCTGAGGTATTACTTTTTATGGAAATGTGTCAATAAAGAAAGTGATTATAAAATGTGCTAGAGTTTGCCAGCAGCGTGTTCTGCAAATACTTTCACTCGTGAACACGCTTTGTCAGATTCTTAGCTGATGTAAATCCATCTGGCTCCTGCAAATTCAATGAATTTATGTTAGTTCACACTGCCTGAAATGAAGCCTAATTTGTTTCCAGCTTTCATTCATATTATCCTAAGCTTGGTGGCTGTATTTTTAGGTAACGACAGATAATCTTTTTATAATTTTCAGTGGCAGGTCCAAGGCCTTGAATAATCATGGGATGGAAACTGGGAATCAGTGGAGGATAGGGAGCCCAGGTGTGACATGCTTAGGGACAGGACTGCTGACAAGGCAGGATGCCAGTATTCCACATTGTTTCCATGCATCTATTTTGCTCTAATCTTTAACCTCAGAAACAGGAAGCTTCTCTTACCTACATGAAGGATGCTGACAAAGGTGGTCATGTCTCTCCCAGAGAAGAAGCAAAACCTCTTGTGAAGATGAAGATCAAGGCCAAGAATAACTGTTTCTTCCAGCGCTACCAACTGGTCATTTAACACCAGTGATTGTTTTGGTAGGTTCGCAGACTACCAATGAACAACTGAGAAAAAGTAGCTGATGTAAACTCTAAGTACACCAGTGTTACAAGTAGTTTTGATTTTTTTTCTCTCTCACTTGAGAATTTTTTTTCTTTCTCACCGGAATCCCTTTGGTCTCACCTACTAAATTGCTGTACTTCTCACAGCAATCAATGTCTTGACATGGGGATGGGTTGAGAGGGCAGAGGGGGAAGCAGGTGTTGCAGAGGTACTACAGAGCTCCGGTGTTCTGAGTTGCTGTGATGTATCTCCTGTTTTAATTGGTTTGCTCTAAATATCAAGAAGAACTAGGAGATGGTAAAAACCTGAATATCCTCAGTTCCCTGTAGTGTTACATATCAGAGTGGCAAGGTGCACTGGGACAAGAATACCTCTCTCTCCACCCACCAGCTGGAATAACACAGTCTGCTTGGCAGTACCCTGCCACTGTTTGTCTGATAGTGCAAATAAGTTAGGGAGCATGTTATCTGAAATTTGACAACTGCTCATTGCTATCAGGATATTAGGAAAGAAAAGCTTTTGGTATTTTAAATTCTTTGGTGGTGTCCAATGTCCTTCTTAGCCAGTCTTATTTTGCCATCCATTATTGGGCAGTTATCATTATCAACAAGTCAACAGACATGAAAAGATACCTGAAAATCACCTTCTATCTTAATCACGATAATACTGCCAGCAGAATTTAACTGCTGTATTGCAGCAATTGTAAAAGTCTCTACCACAGCCTGCTAGATTTAAGAATGTGGTACACAAACCTTGCACAAAAGGTGCAGCAATATATCACTTCAACGTTTTGTAGCTTAAAAATTTAAAAAGAGAAGTTAAGAAATCTTCAGGAGTCAGTTTTTCTTCTCTTTTCTCCTGATAAAAATCTGAACACTGGGTTTGAAATTCCCGGCATTGTGCTAATGTGCATTACCACTTTCAAGTTTATTGAGAAATCAATTTTTCTGGGTTTAGTTTAATTAATAAGTACTGGTCTTACATCTGCTCAGCAGCACTCCCAAGAAAGCTCCTCTAAGATGCTAGTGATTATGCCAAGCTTCCTGTCTTTATTTGTAAGTAGTATTTCACAGCATCAGCTGCCAGCTGGTCCCAAATTCTTTTTCCCAGCACAACACTGAAAAGGAACAATTTGTTGTGTAGGAGGTCTAAAATTGTGGCTATTAAATTACCATCCAAGTGGACATTGTTTACAAATCCCATTCAAAAATGTCATTTAACTGTCTGCTGTGGGATAAATTTTATTCTCTCATGCAGCAATACCCCAAGTGAGCTGGTAGGAATTTGTGTCCACGACTGATGCAGGACAGACCTGGCTGAAGCAGAAATACCTTTACTAGCTTCGAAAAAGACTCAGGGCATAGCACCTATTGTGTCACAGTAGGGAATAAAGTATTTATTGTCAAAAGAGTGGTGTTTCTGCTACATGAGAAACAAGCAAGGTTAATTTCATACTGATTTTGGTAACCTTTGGGGGACTATAACTGAGAAAAGCAGCATAAGGACCATGGTGCATACAGAATTCAACACCAGGGGAACCAGCTCTGTGAAGCCGTACATCTGCTGCTCTTCTTAAAAGGTTTTAAAGCATTTCTGTTTAAGAGAACTCCCAAAGACTCATCAAAGCTCAAACGTGTCCCCAGTAGTCACTGCTGTGGATGGTATACATGGAAGAGTGGGGTATGGGCTGTAACTGGTTGCCTCCAAGGGAGAGAAAATCCCCCTTGTTCTGCTCTGAGCAGCGCTCCTGGAGGGGCAGGGGGTGTCCCGGGCTCGCTGCTGTCCTCGCTGGTGGAACCTCTGCAGCCCAGGCAGCTGCAGAGCTGGGAGGGCAGGGTCCCTGCAAGTAGGCACAGAAGAGGTGCAGAACAGCCCACCCCACCCACACTGGCTTTTGGCACCAGGTATCACCTGAAAAAGTGAGACTTCTGATAGCTTAAATGCAATGACTAGCCAGCTCCTGCTCCTGCAGTCAGTAACAGGAAAGGTTTTCCTGTGGGTGCTGCTATCAGGATTCAGTGAGGAACCTTCTCCCCTGCTTATTCTCTGATAGGCATCTGTTGTGAACAGCTCTGCTTTTAATCCCTCTTGTTACGCTTGTGTCTGTAGGTGAGGAGATTTTACAAATCAAGAAGTCCTGAGGAGATTTTCACCTCCTTTCCAAACAAACACAGAGACCAGGGGAAAAAATGTTTCCAAGAAGATAAGTTGAATTGAGAAAAAAGCAAACACAAAGCAGAATCATTTATGGAGCCTGTCTAACCCTGCCAGAGGTGCTGCTTCAACCCCAGTGACAGGAGCTATGCAGGACATGCAAGAATATGGAGCTGGAGCAAGGGAAAGGAGCCAGCAGAAAAGCTTCAGGCAGGTCATCAGGAGACCTGCTTACTTCTCTTTGAAAAGAGCCAGAAAGAAGTCGGACTTTTATCCAAAGATAAAAGGTCTGTTGAACATATCCCTGTTTTTTTGCTATGTATGTTGGCCACCTTTTGCTTTAGGTGAACCACCGATAAACACAACCAGCAATAAAGCACACTAAAAAACAACGGCTAAGTTTTCTTTCCAGTAAAGTTCTGTTAATGGTTACGCATGACCTAACAGTCCCTGAAAAGCCCAGGCTGTAAGTACTTTAAATATTAAAAATCAGATTTTCTTTCTTATATTTTTTTGTTATATAGAAGATGTGTTGGGGAAAGGTAAAAAAATACTGATAAAAGCACTCTTTTATTTTCAAATCACTGGACACTGTTTGGACATTTAGAGAAACTGCTGAGATAAGGGAGGGCATGAATAGAAATGTAATATAGGTGGTTGTCTTTTCAGACATGAAAACTTTTGGCATATGACTTAGTGGCCTGTCCTCTTAGTGTATTTTAAAATGAAAAACGTCTAAAATATTTTTGAATTGTGCAGACTAATGCTTGATCCTGAAAACTAGCTTAACATTTCTCTCTTCATGCTCATTCCTGCCTTCACCTCATCTGCACAGAAGCCACTGCCTGGAGTTCATCGCTGTAACCACCTGGAAAGGCACTTTTTTACCCAGGTGAAGTGTGTCCTGCTGGTTGATGCTGACATTGCCTCCAGGTGCTGTGAGTTCAGGCTGGGTGCCCCGTGTCCCTCTGCAGCCCTGCCGTGGCTCCCGGGGCTCAGAGCCCAGGGCAGCTCCTGCCGCTGCTCCAGCCTCGCCAGGGTAAGCAGAGCAAGGTGCTCAGCACGAGGGCAGCTTCATTGATCTCTCTTTGAAAATCCACGTAGCTGAACTTCAACTTTAAGGATAATTACAAGGTAGCTCTATTCTCTTTATTAAATCAGCATTCTCTCATTAAACCAGCAAAGCTGTGGGTGCTTAACGACCTGTTCAGAGCTGGACGGGGAAGCTGAGTAAAGATTTCAAAACTAGTTTTCTCTTGGTGTTTTCTTGTGTTTCATTAGGGTTGACTTTTAAAATGCTTAGGCCTCACAGCTCCACCTGAAGTAACTGGGAATTGGTAGCTGCATATTATCAAAGCAGACACTCCCAATCTACTTTAAAACACATAGAGCTTTTACAGTTCTCCTTTTGCCTTTTTTTTAATTTTGGTTTTTCATTTCAGTTGGAGTCATAACTTGAAACAGAAAATTGTAAAAACAAAACAACATTTATCAGTGTTTATCATGCTAGCCTCAATTTTTAAACTTCTAAATTCCAAACAATATAAGGTCCTTGTCACAGAATAATTCCCTCTGGAATGATTATGATAATAATTATTTACCAGTATTGCCATTGCAAGTAATTGATTTTTTCAACTCACTGATTGAACTGAAAGAAAAACAAGAGAGAAAAAAATCATTTGTGTCAAATGAAATGTGTAGTTTTATCTTTAGATTTTAAACTGCATTTTAGAATATTTTTCACAACTTAAAAATTAAAGTTTTTCCAAAGGAAAAATTGTGCCTCTTTTGAGTTTTTAGAAAAATTAGTCAAAAGTATTTACTAATGTGGGTTAAATTCTGAAGATACTTTCAGCCATTCCACACAGAACTTTCTTCTGTGAATAATTTATACTTCAAAAATACCAATAATTTCTCCTGCTGAAGAAAACTCTATGAAAAGTGAGCTGCTGAAGTATGCCAAAAGCAACTTAGCATCCTACAGCTAACTTAAGATACTGAAAAAGAGATACTGGGTCATCCTATTTCTAGCCCTGTTGGTTATAACAAACACAATGCTATATGTTAGGAGTAATTTTAAACCGTTAGGAAATAAAGTCATAAGTGTATCTTTTTAATTTAGGAAAACAATTCTTATTTCATCTAATGTACTTCAATTGTTGATTTTGTGTAGAGAAAGCTTATTTTCTTTCTCAGAAATACCATATGTCAGTACTTTTTAATTATAGAAATACTTATTGTTATCTTGAAACCAATAAACTGGCTAGAACTGCAAATGTTTTATTATGTTGTGTTAAAGTCAGAGGAATTATACAAAGATGGGAAAATACTTCTCAGTATTAGAATGCTTGAGATAGGTGATAAATGGTCCTGTTTTCACTTGCTTTTTATGAAAGAAAAATCTAAAGGGAATAATTGTATTGCAGAATCACAGAACACTCTGAGTTGGATGAGACCTACAAGGTGATCCCCAGGTGGTCTCTGGGTGTGACTCCTAATGGCTGATGTGTTCTTCCCAGAGGTGGGTGGCCGGAGCTGGGCAGTCCTGTGCAGGGGCAGCTGGAAAGGAGCTCTGAGACCTCAGATGGTAAAAGGCAGAGGGGACCTGGCTTTTGGCACTGGCCTTGAAGCAGCGAGCAGCTGACGTGTGGGCACGAGCAGGTGACACGTGTATACTCGAGTAGGTGACACGTGTGGACACGAGCAGGTGACACGTGTGGACACGCATACAGGCCTGCCCATCGTGGTACCACCAATGCTGGTTTTCCCCAGTGCCAAAATAGCTCTGTCATTTGGTTTAGTACTTGTCCTAGCCATAAACTTCTGTGCCATGGGACAAGAGATTTTGTGTGTGTCACTGTGAAAAAGGGTTGCTGACACTGCTTTGGGAAGTTGAAGTGACAAAGGGCTGGTGGTTTTAAAGCCTTGTATTTTAAAGTCTTAAAATTCTGACCCAATGTCAGATTAGAATAAAATAGTGATCGGTTTTGGCCTTCAAGTGCTTGGGAACATTTATTATTCATGTTTCTTTTTAGCAAATACTGGGTAAATCAAAGAATGTTCACACAGATGCTGCAGTGTCCACTGAGAGGCTAGGAACATGTTTTTGTTGTCTATGAAAACAGGCATGCTGGGGGGTCGAATTTGATCCAGTGACTATAATATTCCATGTACCAGAAGAACTAAACAACTTCATTTATATTTTAAATGTTTCAAATCAATACTTCCCTTCATATTCTGTGACCCCCGCCAGGAAAACTCTTATAACTGAAAATTTAAAGAATAGATTTTAAGTTATGAATAATGTAAGGCTGTCGTAGGGGAAAGAAACAGTGAAATACTGCTGACAGAAACAATCAGTACATGTTTATACTGAAGAACAAACCTTAGCAATTCCATCTTGCATAACATAGCTTTTAAAATCCTATTCAAACTTTTCAGTTTTCCCTGAAATGTCAAGCAGTCTTCTTCAGCCTTAAACTCCACTACAAAATATACAAGCTGTTTTTGTTTCTCAAAGACTGAGTTAATCTGGAAGTAAAATGTATGCATATATAAAATAAATGGCTCTATGAAAAATAATCAAGAACTAATAGATGCAGGTAAAGAAAGAGCTTAGATTTGAAAAAAAAAAGCCCCAAAAGTCCTTAATACAGAGAGGTCTAGCAGTATCTATTTCTCCAGCAGAAGGTTATAACCAGGAATAGATCTAGCAAGATAGGACAGACAGTCAGATGGTGAATAAGAGCCTCCTTGCACTGAAGCATTCTTCAGGGCATAAGTTTGCTGTTTGAGTTTTGTTTGCACACTGAGTTGCCATCCATTGAAAATAAGAAAAGGTATTTGTCCTGTAGACCTGATGAGTAGGAAGAGCCATGGTGCCCTGAGAGAATCCTTATAAAAATGCTTGCATGACACAGAGCTTTATCTTTAATGAATTGGGGCATAATTATCACAAACTCCCTGAATTATGCAAATAAAAAAATCAAGAAGAAAAACATAATGGCAACTTCATTAGAAAATATTTTTCTAAGTAATACTTCTGGGGATGAAGGACTTATTGTTTGTGTCTGATGTGTTTTTTGAGGGCTGCAGAGGGGAAGGAAGGAGACAGCTCACTGGAATTTAGGATGGTGCCCACAGCTGTCTTGACCTCCTTTCCCACCACTGCTGTTCACTGTCATCCCTCATCTATTCTCATGCCTGCTCAGCATTTCCTCCTGTTGACCTACACAAGCCAGGAGGGGGAAGCATTACGCAGGACTCAGAAATGTCCCCAAATCTTGTTAAAGCAGTTCTCTGCTTGCAAACTGGGCAAAAAACATCACCAGACAAAAAAGGGCAGCACTTGCAGATTTTCTGGTATACAGATTTATCATGATAAATAGCAGATTGACTGAGCCAAATGACTTAGTGGCCATATAATCATATCACAAAGGGGACAAGCTTCTGGCATCTGTTCATGTGACAGAAGTTGAATGTAGCTTTTTTTTTTTTTTTTTTTGAGAATTAAATATTTCTATTACTGTTCTTTTTCTTTTTTTCCCCCTATGCAAACCACTCCTGTATTTTGTCTCAGTTTCACCCCTTCATAATATTCTCTGGGTTTTCAGATGCTGACCTACTTGTGAAGGTAAAGAACTCTACAAAATAAGGAAAAAAGTCTTAGTCTGTAACAGGTCTCTCTTGAGATGCAAGAATTGCAGAATGGGAACTCTGAGAACACCCCTGACAAAACAGGTACCCCCTCTCAGTCTTACCACCCCTGCTCCTGTGGCTGCAATATAGGACAAGTGATCTGCTCTCCCCTACACCTCTGGGCAATTCTTTCTCTTTTCTTCCTTGACTAATATAGTTATAGCAGCTGTTTTTTTTTTTTTTTTTTTTAAATGTGCTAAGTTTATGATGATATAAAAAGTACACATTTTATGTGTTAGGAATTAGGGGGAAGCTCCTGCATACAGGACACTGCAACTGGACATTATGTT